CCGCAGCAGGGAGCTGGTGCTCACACTCCAGCCCCATGGAGGGGACTGTGGGGGTGCTGCAGGGCTGGACTGCCAGCACCAGCTCCCCAGTTCTGGGGGGAGCCCCAAGTCCCGGGGGCCAAGTCCAGGTAAGCCAGGGGCCGCGTCTGGCCTCCAGGCCTTAGGATCGCTGCTCTTGGCTTAGATCCTCAGAGTGATCTCTCTATTCCCCAGGCCCTGCTCACACTCCAGCCCCATGGAGGGGACTGTGGGGGTGCTGCAGGGCTGGACTGCCAGCACCAGCTCCCCAGTTCTGGGGGGAGCCCCAAGTCCCGGGGGCCAAGTCCAGGTAAGCCAGGGGCCGCGTCTGGCCTCCAGGCCTTAGGATCGCTGCTCTTGGCTTAGATCCTCAGAGTGATCTCTCTATTCCCCAGGCCCCCGCAGTGTAGGACTGTCCCCCCGCCCCGCGCCCTCCCTTCCCCTGGACCAGAACCGCAATGTCGGCCTCCCCCTCTGCCCCAAATTCCCCCTGGAAGCCCTGCCGGCAAGCGTGGCGCGGCCTGTCTCGGGGCCCAGCTCTCCGCCCCGTCGGTCAGCGTAGGCGCTCTCCTCCCTACGAAACCACTTCCCTGGGGACCCCGCTCTGCTGTCATCGGATCTCATTTCCTCCCCTTCCTGTGAGCCTGATACGCAGAGTGAGGGGCCGTGGGCAGCCCAGCTCCCTCCACTGTTCTCAACCCCGTTAGCAGAACAAATAAACAGCCGGGGCTTATCGCAGGGCCCCCCGCAGCCATGTGGTGGGCAGGGGGTTTGGGAGGGAAGCTGGACTGTTTGAACAGCCCGGGGGCTCCGCTAATAGACAGAAAACCACCTCGGAGCTGAGACACCGGCCCCCGCCTCGCCTGACGGGGCCTGATGGCCCCTCTCCCGGCTGACGGGGCGTTTTGGGTAGCTGGGGTAGCAGGTGGATTTCCAGCTGGGCCCTTGGGTGTGTGCTCTGGACTGGAGCCCTCCCTAGGGACTGACAGGAGATGGTGCCACACTGGGAAGTTTGGCTCCTCTGTGGATCCGCGTACGACTTGCCCCAGAGCCGGGCGGCCCGCTTTGGGGGGTTCTGTTTCAGCCTGCCCTAGGGAGAGCTCTGAACTGGGGAGCTGAGGGCCAGGCGTGGGTTGGGACGTCTCCCTGGCCAGCAGGGCCCGAGCAGACCGGGCGTTGCGGTGGCCGCGTGATTCTGAAGCCGCCCCCGCTGTGCGCCTCTGGCTACGGAGCGTGGATGCAGCTCGCTGGCCCGGTGCCGCTGTGTCCCGGCCGGCCTAAGCTAGGCCCAGGGCGAGAGACCGATGTGACCACTGAGCCCGACAGCCTGACTTGTGGGATGGGGGGTGGGCAGGGCCGGGCTCCCCGGCTCGTCCCTCCTTGGCCCAACGGGAGGATGAGGCGCGCGGGTGAGAGATGGAGGCGGCGGATGGGGCGGT